CTGGACCGACGGTTTCCGGACCCCACACCCCAGAGCGCTCGCCACTCGGCTGTCGGCTCCACTTGACAGCGCAAGGTTCAGAACTCGGTCCTGCTTTACAAGTCTTGGTATTGATCTTTCCTTTTCGCTTTAGTTCTTAAGCGCTGTGTACTTCTGGTTGATATTCTAGCATTGGCGGAAATAATGAATTCGTCTATCGACGGTTTAGTTTAAGCTGACTCGGGCTCTGTCGGCTGTACCTGTCGCTACAATCATGTGGCTACAAACGTCTTTGCGGCGATACCCCTCGCATTGAGACGAGGGGTAACACCATAAGCGCAATCGCTACGCCAACCCTATTCGGAAGGCTGGGGGGGGGGGGGGGGAGGAGTCAGTGTCGTTTATCCGACCTGTTTTTGTCCGAACTCGGTAAAATGGCGAGTCCCCGAAAATATGGAAAATTGTTGTCCGACCCAGAGAGACTCAAAGAACTGATGGCCCCCCGCCCCTGTTGGTAGCCACAGATCCGGCGGCCAGAGTCAGGCTAATCCGAACCGACTTAGATCTCTTTTCAAGCAATATAGTGACCGCCGGCGCCGGCATTGTGGCCACAATTGGACGTCCTGTCCCTCCGAGCGCTTGGACAAGGCGAGAGCTTCGAAAAGGCATTGATATCTTTCGTTTTCGCTTTAGTTCTTAGCGCAGTTTACTTCTGGTTGAAATTCTAGCATCGGCTGAATTCGTCGATAGACGGTTCAGTTTAAGCTGACTCGGGCCCTGTCGGCTGTAGCTGGAAATGGAAAGTTTACATTGGGTGAAGCACAGCAGTTCTTTGTCTTTCTGCAACAATCACTTTATTTACACATTTTTCACAAACATGCACTGCAACAATAAAAACCTTTGTAAAAAACATAAGGGGTAAAAAATTACAAAACAAGTCATTTGACATTTTTAGCAGTTTAAAATATGACAATCACACAAATATTTGTCTTGGAGGCTATTCATAATCAGATGCATATGCCAATATTTGTTTATGACTCTTGATGAAGAGACTCTGTCACCTGTAAAGCTTTAATCTCTTCTCTTAACATTCCTTACCATATCATACTTGATCAAGGGGCATATTTAAAATGCCGTTAATAGTAGAATTTGAAAAAATTTAATACCTGTTGTAGTCAGCTATTTCTTGGCAGGTATGGAAGACAGTACCACTTAACAGTAGTTAGCAATAGCAAGCATGTACCAAAGAAGGAGTGCAAAGAGGGGCTCAAACAGTTAAAATTTAAACGCAATCAAGTATCACCTGAAAGATCCATAAAGATCCATGTTAAAAATTTTTGACATAAGCCCTCAAGAAGAAGTAAAGGCGTAAAAGGAAAGAGCACAATCAATTTACTGTACCTCTTTTTGAACACTAGAAGACACATCGGTCTTCGGTTTGAGAAAAAAGAACATATACAATTTTTGGAAAACAAAAACATTAAGTGAACCTGATAACATAATTAATGTATAAAGAGTTCTAGTAAACATTAAAAATAATTTATTTTTAAATACAAGACTAGGAAAACTGAAAAATAAATATAAATTGAAGACAGCTACACTTCTAAACTCTATAGATGCCAAAACAAAAGACCGAAAGGAATTGTGAGGGGAACACATACCACTAAGTACATGTACTTTCAAGAGTTAATTGATCACAATTCACACAGCTCAACATAATAATTGTAGAAATTTCCTTATTTAGCCATTGAATCAGTGAGTGGCCAGGGCAAAAATAATAATTATAATTATAATAAAAAAGATGTGACTTGATATAATATTTGGACAGGACTTTCTTGAAGTTAACAATATTGAAGACAACTCCAATCAGATACATTTTTTTATAAGAGCAATGGGCTCAGGTATTTTAAAAATCTAACTGCAAATAAATAATTTAGAAGAAACATCTCTCTCCCTAAGCCCAAAGCATGCACTGTAACTGACGTTTTAAGTAAGTCACATTATATTTTAGGCACATACCAAATGCAAAATACCTTTAACCAAGTCAGAGATACCGTTTACGTTCCCCTAAAGCAGTCTTAATAAGCAGTAATAGACTCAGAATCAATGGAAACATGTATTCACTTATCGTTGCAGAATTTGGATAATTTCTACAAATCATTGCAAATTTGTACGTTATGACACTTTACGGCCTACTTAATACTATCACTTGAACAACACTACTTAGTTATGATTACTATTTGAGTTCACACCAATTTGGTCCCAAACTGAAAGTACACAGTATCTTCAGAAGTACAGTAAGTTTCGCTGTTTTCAAAATTAAAAATTTTGATTTGATTGCTAAATATTTTTAACAGACACTACATCAATAATGATGAAATTGAAATAAATTTAAGAGTTTTAGTATTAAAGTGGTAAACTTCATGTTGATGAATATAAAAGTGATTATTAGCTTGAAACAAAAAAGTGAAAATTTTCAACATGCATTGGATGTCTACACTAGTTAACTACTATCTTTGTTCATACTAGTGCACATAGAGTTAATGAATAAAAGAAATCAATCTTAAGAAATGAACTAGCCCTGCGTGTGGTTCAAAATTTCAATGTGTATTGCAGCGGGGAGGTGCTAACAGCCCAAAATCTAAAGAGTGTAGTAGCAATCGGAAGTAGCAGTTGGTGCAAAGTTAGTATCTTTTGACCATAGTTACCCTATTGCACATGTTAGGCTAAGAATACTTTTAAAATTTATTGGTGAAGAAGATTTCAAACATTTAACCATCTACTTTTAAGAAAACACTAACAACAAGGATTTAAACTGGCAAAGATTTACTGTTGCACCAACTTCTTCTAGGATATATATCTTTTTTAACCGCAGTTAAATACAAAGAGAAGTGAACCAAATCAAGAGTTGATGATTGCTCTTGAGAATGCAGAAATGACAACAAAACACATACTGAAAGAGCAATGAGGACAAAATCAATAGATTCGATAAAGATTAAGAAAGTTTAAATTTGAGAGGAGGGACTAGAACTCTAAAAGCCTCGGGCTTTTACAGTAAGAAATCAATATGTAGTTGCACATATTCTCTGCTCACGGAAGTATCGAAAACAATACAAAAGGAAGAAAAACCTTTTCCTTTCTATTGCATAACAGTCTGGTAAACACACTACAGTAATTATGGTTAGGTAGATAACCAAACAAGGAAAGTATGGGCAGTTATGCTGACAACCAAAAAAAATAGCTCATAAATTTCTCAACAGAAAATTAATTTCTATAGTATCACAGAAACTTTATCTTCCAATCAAAACTATCACCAATACTCCCATACTAAAACTCATGATCGTCACAAACATCTAAATAAACGTCAAAGGTTTCCCTGTTGCAATTGCCATCATCATTGAAGACATACTTGTGGAAGGTGCCATCCAAGCAAATTGCTGCAACAAAAGAAAAAAGAATTTTACCTGCTGGGGCAGATTATAGTATGAAAACACTGTCATATCTAATCTCGGTCCAACTATCTTAAAGCAGAATTATCAACTATGTATTCTAAGGGATATGAGACTATTTTTTAGTAAAATTGTTTCATCAGTACAAGAATACTGTAGAGAATACTTACCAATCACAGAGCTACGAAGACCAAAAGCACAAACACAGGCACTTTCAGGAGGCACAGTGAAATTTGCTAACGCCCACTGAGATTCTCCATAGTTGCCAAGAATACCCATTTTTGAAAACCTAAAACAGTTAGATTAAGATAAAGTACCATGAACACAGGAATCAATGGTATAATTATTTACTTTGAAATGGTGGAGGTAGGAGAATAATGAATTATACTTACGTGGACCTTCTATTCAAATGAGTTTTCTTCAGAGCAAATATATGAATGGTCCCTTTATCACTTGAGCAGCATAAGAATTCAGAATCTCTACTGAAGTTCATACTGGAAATTAAAATGAGACTTATCAAGAGTTCATTGGAAAAATTCATATAAACTTGCTGAAAATTTCTTACCAATATAGAGTTGCTGGGTCAGAACCTCTTCTTAGTTCCACAACTTGAACTCTTCTTAAAGTATCCCACACTCGGAGGAGAGTTCCTTTGCATGACGCAGTTGCAATGAAAGTACCTTGCTGATTAATGGCTAGGCAAGCAAGTTCTCCCTGGTGTGCATTGATTGTTAATGGTGCTGAGGACATTCCTGCTTCAGTATTTGTAAGATCCTGGAGAGATGGATGCATACATATTTACAACCCTGCTGTTTAGGTATATGACACTACAATTAATCAATAGAAATTTATAACAAGGAAACACAACAACTTACAACTAGCTGGACACTACCAATTTTATGGCCGGGAAATGCCAACAGCTGTCGTTCTGCTGTAACAATAGGGCTAATTTCACAAAGGCCTAGTGTGTTCTCTCTGGTTTCAACTGTGTACAGCCTCTGAGCAGGTGCAGGAAAGCTGAAAACATGCACCTCACGAAGTAAAGCAACCACCAATCTAAAAAACATGAAAATACATATTTATTAGTAGTCTGGTTAAATTATCAATATTCTAAGAAAGGAAGAGCTAATAGATGACTTAAAAGAACTCACTTGTCTCTCCTTAACCGGACAGCTTTGACTGGGGTTGTAAAAGTTATTTCTAGCACAAACTTCTTTGCATGGTCATCATATATAAGGACAGTATTGTCAGCAAATTTGGGATGTGAACCACCGGCGACAATAGCTAGGAGGTTGGTGCGATGTAACATTTCACATATGGCAACACTGCCCATCAATTCTAAATCTTAACAAATGAAATAAAAATAACATATATAAAGGAGATACTGTATTTTATGATATGAAATAAATTAAAATAGAAGAGGGTGAACATTTTAACCCTTACCGAAGTGTGCCTTCTCAACTAATGGGTCAACATTGTAGATTCGTAATCCACTTTCCATACAACATGTAAAACAACCTGTAAAAATAATTACAGAAAATTTGTGTTTGAAAGGCGGGCAAAATACATAACAATATACACAGGGGAAAAGCTTGTGAAAAAAAGAAGTTGGGAGCATAAACAATGGCTACTAGATCAATGTTTATAGCTTGTTTCCTACACAACACTTTATTGCAGCTCATGATGAAAATCCTCTTTAGACAAGTATTTTCTAACATAAATTTAGGTAAAAGACCTTTTTCTTAGAAATTATTCTAAGAAATCACAGGTAGGGTATATTGTGTATGTTATGAATAGTCCATCACAGCTGACCAATGTTTACATGCTGCAGACAGGTTAGAATCAACTTCGACTCAGAAATAAAACAAAAAGAAAGTTGCTTCAACGTCAAAATTATAAAACCATTAAGAATCACTACTGAAATAAGTAAAGATCTACCAAATAACAAACCTTGGTCTTGATTGAACCTGAGGTTCAGCACTCCTCTATTGCTTGCCATATCTCGTTTGAGCTGGTCAGTCAATGGTATGATGGGTACATGGTAGGAGCGTCAAAAAGAAAATGAGTTCAGTTCGCATTGGCATGGAACTCAAGTCAAACGCGGATAACTACGACTGTATCGCAAGTAGCAAAGAAATGCTTCTCGCATTTCATGTCTACGACTCAATGAAAACAAAGAGAAGCCTTCTTCCTGCTCGCAACAGCTGATACAAACTGACTATGTGAGTCAGTACATCTTCTGTTGAGAGAATATAACAAGGTGTCCGAAGGAGAACCTAGGCTGAATTAAGGAAGCATCAAGGGTTTCCATTTATCATACATCAAAAAACGAATTTTCTAGATGATTTCGTAGTCTTTACAGTTCATGATTGTGTGCGCCTTTTGGTTAGCTTTTGACTCCTGTGGTACGGCGCATCGATGAGACGCAATTTGAATTGGTGCTACGCGACGCGCGTTTGGCTGCTGGCGGTGGTATCACAAGTCATTACGAGAAACCGATTTGATTTCACGGTGGACTCAATTTACTACCATAGAGTGATAGTCCGTCACCCAGAGCTTGTTCTCTTTCCCGATAGCGTTTCCACCAAAAGCAAAGAGAATGCGGAAGTCATCGTGACGTCACCGCATGACGTCAGCTTTTTGAGTCGCAGTAGCCTATATGGCCAGGACACGGGACGGGCAACGTGTTTGCTTAAGAATCGTCGACCCCGTCCACCGTCGAATGTGTTGCCTACCAAGGAAGGGGATACTCGGGCAAGAAAAAACTTTGAGTCCAAATTGGCAACAAGAGTTTTCTTTCTGGAAAAGTGTCGTTTTATGCACAATTTATGTATTTCTTTTATCAATTTATTGTGCCTTTTACCATTTAGTATTGTTACAAACACATCATAATTTTTATTTATAAGCCGATTTAAATGTGCTCACATTTGCAACGGATGCATGGCACCTTAACACGTTGAGTCCCACGTGACCACACGTATGGGCACAATAACCCGTAATTAGCACTCCCCTTGGGACTCAACGTGTTAAGATGTTCAATTCAACATGTACGAATTGAAGAACTGAATAAACTATTCCGAACTTTTTGTATTTAGAATTATTCGTAAATCAGCACCGTCGTAAATAATCGTGGTCAAGACTCATTGTGATGTCAGCTCCCTTGCTTTTGCGCTTACTCGTAAGATTCTTGCGTTTATTTATTTCTGCTGGCACTCAAAATTTCGCCAAGTAGTGTTGACGACTGCGACTGCTCCCCCCTGCTGCTCGGCGAGTCGGTCGGTGTTGGGTGTCGGTGCCTACAAAGCGTTGCGCACGGCGTGGTGCCGCAGCGACACAGCGCGGAAAATTGGAAATGGGGTCCACGATCAGTCAGGGTGACCTCCGCGGGCCGCACCGGCCACACCGCACGTGTTTCGCGACTTCTCATTTCATTACCCAAAAGTCTAGAGAAGCCGGAACTCTCTAATATTAAATATCGCATTAAAAAAGCAACAAAAAAAAATATCGCACAAAAATAATCATTGTTAGCTGAAAGTACAAAGGAGACATAATTCTCAAACGAAAAGGTTTTTAGTTTTAGCACCTCCCGCCGCTTAGTAAATCTATACGTCGTGATTCTGTCTCGAAACTAAAGTCTGCCCCGATGTAATGTGGAGACCCTCCCTTTGGCCTATCGGTCGAATCTGTTGTCCGCATCATCGGCATCGCCCATTCATTTCTGACGGGGCGGCCACGATATCCGTGTCGCTCGCTGCTGCTCCCATCATCCCGTCGCTTTGGTCACGGGTTCGCGTCTCCAAACGCCGGACACATCTTTCTTTTTTTATTTATTTTCGCGGCGCGCGCGGCGCTAGGCAATATGATGCTGTCGGGGCGTCCCGGCTCCAGGTCTCCATTCGTCGATCGTCCGCGGGCCAGAAAGGGTCGTCGTCGTCGTCGCCGTGCTCTCTGCCAAGCACCGCGATGGGAGAGTGCGTGCAGCCGCGGGGCCATCGCGCAGGAGGCCGCGGCTCGGGCTCCGGCACCAGGGGCGGCCCCGCCGGGGCACTCGTCCAGCGAAGGAGGCCCCGACCCGAACCATGGGGCTGCTGCCGGGTGAGTACACTTGTAAAAGAAATGAGACTTTTTTTTGAAGATTTCTTCCCTTTTAAGTTTTGTGGAGAGAAGGAATGGCTGGATCCCGTCTAAGGAACAAACTAGGGGAATTGCCGATTGCGAGCGCCCGCCGACGCTCCAAGACTGCCCTAAATAGACAGTCTTAAGATATTAACAATTGATTCCCAGACGGGGGCGCGAATAAAACACGAAAACGAACCACATTTCAGTGACGATCACAGCCCCTATCCCTCAATGATCGCAATCGACCATTCAAATAGAGAGTACTCAAAATTCAATTTAATGCAATTAAACATAACGTGTTCTCCAACTAGAGGGGAATGCTGATGCTGGCGGTCGTCGCGGTCCTGGTCGTCGTCGTGGCCAGCTCTGTGGCCAGCCCGAGGGAGCGCCGTCAGGTCGAGGACCGCACTGACAGCGAAGACGCGCAGCGTGGAGAAGACAAGGACGGAGGTGACATCGGTGGCACCAGCGTCAGCACGGTCAACGACAACAAGGGCGAGACCGGCGAGACGCGGAATAGGACGGCGCGCTCACCTCGACCCCACGGCGGTGGTGGTGGTGGATTTGGGGGTGGCGGTGGGAAAGGGGGCGGATTCGGAGGAGGCGGCGGGAAAGGAGGATGTGAAGGGGGCGCTTGCGGGATGTCCAAAGGAGGTGGGGGCGGAGGAGGAGGGTGCGAGGGAGGCGACTGCGGGATGTCTAAAGGAGGTGGGGGCGGAGGAGGAGGATGCGAGGGAGGTGACTGTGGTATGTCCAAAGGGGGTGGAGGCGGCGAGGGGTGCAAGGGAGGCGACTGTGGGATGTCCAAAGGAGGCGGGGGCGGAGGAGGAGGATGCGAGGGAGGCGACTGTGGGATGTCGAGGCGGGGGCGGAGGAGGAGGATGCGAGGGAGGCGACTGTGGGATGTCCAAAGGAGGCGGGGGCGGAGGAGGAGGATGCGAGGGAGGCGACTGTGGGATGTCCAAAGGAGGCGGGGATGGAGGAGGATGCGAGGGAGGCGACTGCGGGATGTCCAAAGGGGGTGGGGGTGGAGGGGGGTGCAAGGGAGGCGACTGCGGGATGTCCAAAGGAGGTATGGGTGGGATGATGAAGGGTGGTTGCGCAGGTGGAGCTTGTGGAGGTGGTCCCAGAAAGGTGGTGCAAGTGCGAATCGTTGGTGTAGTCAAAGGAGGAGGGGGCGGTGGTGGAGGTGGTGGCTGCGAGGACGGTTCATGCGGTAGTGACAAGGGTG